GGCTGAGGCAGGAGACTCACTTGACCCCAGGAGTTGGAGGTTGCTGTGAGCTGAGATGCCACAGCACTCTACCCAGGGGACAGCTTGAGGCTCTGTCTCAAAAAAAAAGAAAATTGAAGTGAAATTCACATAACATAAAATTAAGCATTTTAAGGAGAAAAGGTCAGTGGCATTTACTACATTCACAATTTTATGCAACTGCCACCTCTGTCTAGTTTCACAATATTCCGTGACTCCAGTAGGAAGCCCCACACCCATTAAACAGTTACTCTCCACCCTCTGCTCCCAGGTGTGCTGGCTTTTGTGGCAAGAGAGACTTAACGGTACCTGTCAATGACAGCTTTCTCACAGCCCTTTCAAAAATACTAGTTTTCACCTGCTTTACTCTCTGCTAATTTTGTATAACTCATCTAGAGGAGTCAGGTCCTGACCTCTAAATTTCTTGTTTTATTTGATTTAGGTCAATTTTGACTCAGTTCTCTGGAACCAAGTATATATTCTCTCCTGAATTGGATCTTACATTCTATTCTACATCTTAAACCGGCAAATTAATTTTGCTAAACAAACAAAACTAAGCTGATCTAAATTCAGATTCAGTTCACTTTTATCAGGATACGCTCAGAAAAGAATGTAATTCCATTTATATTAGAAAATGCTGAATAAATAATTGCATTCCTTGAGATACTGACTTTTTGAAGCCTTCTAGAACATTTATTTCTTATGCTGGCAGAGATTTGAAGTATACAGTTTTGGGACATAAACCATAGAGTTGTTAGTTTCCTGACAACAAATTTGCTTTATCTAGTGTCTTTGCATTTTTGTTTTGTCACCTTTAAAATTTTGCTCATTCTTTCTCATGTAGCTCTCACGGGAGTGCCGAGCTGAAGTCCAAAGGATCCTACACCAGCGTGCCATGGATGTTAAACTGGATCCTGCCCTCCAGGATAAGTGCCTAATTGATCTGGGAAAATGGTGTAGTGAGAAAACAGAGACTGGGCAGGTAGGTGACACAGGTTTTTGTTTGTCTTATGATAATGTTAATGGTTAATGTTTATGTAAAGTACAAACACTGTGAAGTCAATCTCTGTGGTAATTTATAGGTGTGATCTGTTACATTCGTAAATGTTTTCTCTAGGAGAAATTTTAGGAAAGTTTTCACTTTTCTCCCAAGCAGCTAGTTTATTTTTATACTGTGGTTACCATATCCCTGATTATTTTCCCTCTTTGTGTTGCTTCTTAGAAAGCCTAGACCCAAAGGCATAGTTTACCTCTAACAGGGACATAACATTGTGGGTAGGCATTCTGTACTAAGCTTACTGCTGGTTCCATTCTGTTTTTCTTTTTTTTTTTTTACTTATATTTTATTTTATTTCCATTCTGTTTTTCTTAATGTATTTTCCTTCCCCCCCCCCCCTTTTTTACTCTATTTTATTTTATTTTATATTTCACAGTTTGGGCTAAGCTAGGTTTGAACTCACCACCGTTGGTATATGGGGCTGGCACCCTACCCACTGAGCCACAGATGCTGCCCAATTTACTCATTTTTAATTGATTTTGTCTTGCCCTATTCTCATTTTTATAAGCCGTGTTAAGCTCTTTTGAGATAAGCACAATATAAAATATATACAGGCTGGGTGCCTTGTCTCACACCTATAATCCTAGCGCTCTGGGAGGCTGAGGCGGGAGGATCCCTTGAGGTCAGGAGTTCGAGACCAGCCTGAGCAAGAGCACGACTACTAAAAATAGAAAAATTAGCAAGGCATTGTGGCAAGTGCCTCTAGTCCCAGCTGCTTAGGAGACTGAGGCAGGAGGATTAATTGGGCCCAGGAGTTGATATTTCTGTGAGCTAGACTGATGCCAAAGCACTCTAGCCTGGGGCATCAGAACAAGGCTCCCCCTACCAAAATAATACATGTATACATATATGTGTGTGTATACATATATACACATATACACACACACACATATATACATATATATATATGGTGTCCATAAAGTTTGTGTGCAAATTTATGGCCACCCTGTATACACATGTACACACAAGTTGTGTAACTACTGGCATATATGAATAATGTGAGTGGTTTAAAACAGTCATATAAAATATGTAGAATTATTTTTTTCACCTACTTGACCAAATTGAGGCTCAGGGAAGTATACTGATTTCCTTACCTAAAACTCAATCCATTCTATTGTACAGTGGCATCATCATAGCTCATTATGTTTTTGAACTTGTGGGCTCAAGCAGTCCTCCTGCCTTAGCCTCCCAAGTCGCTAGAACTATTGGTGCGTGCTACTACTCTGGCTTTTTTTCCCCACCTATATAGACAGAGTGTCACTGTGCTGCTCAGCTGCTTGGGCCTATCTTGAACTCTTGGCCTTAAGTGATCCTCCTGCATCAATCTCAAAGTACTAGGATTACAGGCAGAAGCCACCACACCTGGCCAATTCATTCCATTATATAATCTCTCTGGATAGTGAAGGAGCAGCTCCTAAGAATTATAAGCACGATATAAATGATTCCTAGGATTGTTTGCCTAGTTTAAGGAAATTTTCTTTTTCTTTTCTTTTTCTTTTTTTTTTTTTGAGACAAAGTCTCAAGCTGTCACCCTGGGTAGAGTGCTGTGGCATCACAGCTCACAGCAACCTCCAACTCCTGAGCTCAAGGGCTTCTTTTGCCTCTGCCTCCCAAGTAGCTGGGCCTACAGGTGCCTGCCACAGTGTCCCGCTATTTTTTGGTTGCAGCTATCATTGTTGTTTGGCAGACCCAGGCTGGATTTGAACCTGCCAGCTCAGGTGTGTGTGGCTGGCATTTTAGCTACTTGAGCCACAGGCGCCAAGCCAGAATTTTCTTTTTAAAAGCACATTACTGTGAGTTACATAGGAAAGGCAGTATGTCTTCCATTTTATTTCTTTCTTTATTTATTTATTTTCAGGTTGATATGAGGATACAAACAACTAGGTTATAATGTTTGCATTTGTTAGGTAGCGTCCTTCTTGTAATTGTGACCATGTCTTCCATTTTAAAGCACCAGCAAGAAGTAGCTACTTGAGCCACATAAATACTGGAACAAGAAGTGAACACAGGTTTCTGGAATCCTTTTGTATCACTATGTAACCCCTTCTGGAATTAAAGTCACACATACAGGCACAGTGCCCATAGCTCAGTGGTTATGGTGCGGCCGCATAGACCAGGGCTGGGGGTTCAAACCCAGCCACGGCCTGCTAAACAACAATGACAACTACAAGAACAACAACAAAAAAATAGATCGGTGTTGTGACGGGCCCCTATAGTCCTAGCTACTTGGGAGGGTGAGGCAAGAGAATCACTTCAGCCCAAGAGTTTAAGGTTGCTGTGACAGCTCGTCACTCTACCGAGGGTGACATAGTGAAAGTCTGTCTCAAAAATAAATAAATAAGGCGGTGCTGAGCACCAGCTCCATATACCAAGGGTGGCAGGTTCAAACTCGGCCGTACCGAACTGCAACAAAAAAATAGCCAGGCATTGTGGCCGACACCTGTGCTCCCAGCTACTAGGGAGGCTGAGGCAAGAGAATCGCCTAAGCCCAGGAGCTGGAGGTTGCTGTTAGCTATAACTCCACAGCACTCTACCCAGGGTGACAAAGGGAGACTCTATCTCTAAAAATAAAGAAAGAAAGAAAAAGTCACACATACAGAGAGCAAACATTTTAAAGAAGCAACTTGGCTTGTCTACTCATATCTGGTGGGCATAGGAATATCATATTTATCATTCTGTTTTCTAAGCCTGCTATAATTCTGTCTGATTTATTGCTAGATAATGCCTGTAGTTCAGCTTTCTACTGCCTCTGTCCAGTGAAACCAAAACCAAAATCAAAGAATCTGAGCATGTAGGAACCCAGGAAACAGTTTCTTTCATACCCATCCCCGCCCCCAGTAAACATTTAGAAAGCTGCACACATTGCAGCTCATCATTGAGAAGCTAAACTTAAAAGGATGTCATGAATAGGATCATTCCCTTCACCACTTATTTTATGTTTGGTACACTTACCTTTTTTTTTTTCTTCCATTCTGGCTGTTGTATGATTCCTACAACCCTCCTCCCTTCCCATGCTAATTCTGAAATGCAGAGATTCATGGAGAAGTACGTTAAATTTGATCTTTTAACAGAAGACTTTGTTGAGAAGTAGTTGTTAATAACAGGTACATAACATGGGATATGCTTGGGAAAGTGAACTAGTGCTATATTTAAAACCTCTAAACCCCAAAAATGAATTGTAATAGACTAATGCTACAAGGTAGCTCCGGCTTGGTTTCTAAAGCTCAGATAAAATGGCTTTTAGATGCTCAAACTCTAGTGTGTTCACTTACTGTGAAAATTTCCTCAGAGGAGTCTTTTGATGTGTTCTGGGGTTAGGAACCCAGATCTGACTTACAGGAGCTTTCTGCTCTGTGATATGTTCTGGACAAAGTAGAGTCCCCACCTACTTTACCCACAAAGAGTTTTAAAATAACCTATGCCAGTCACTGTAAATTTCTTGTTCTGTGATCATTATTAAAGTGCATATTTAAAATTGAATGTGAAAGTGATCTAAGTATAGATGAAAAATGGAAAGGCAGGGTGTCCATGAATCTGGAGCAAAGATTTTGAAACTCCGAGAACTGAAGGTCATCTTGTTGGACTTGTGGATATTGACCTTCTGGGGGTTGCATGGCTATTGTACCCCTTTTGCCCTCTTACCTGCCTTGCTACATCAACTAATCATCTTTTCCCCAATCTTAGTTTGGGGAATGAAATAAAGCTTTTGTGTTTTGTGTTCAGTGAGGTAGTTTTAAGAAAAGACGGGAAAAGGAAGACCACTGAAAAGGAAGGTGACACTGGCAGGCATTGTGACTTCCCTTTGTTTATGTGACTGATAAATACCTGAATGCCAAGAGCTTGCCTTTTTACTTGCAGGAACTTGAATGCCTCCAGGACCACCTAGATGATTTGGTTGTAGAGTGCAGAGATATAGTTGGCAACCTCACCGAGTTGGAATCAGAGGTAAGCACTGTGTGGCTTCCTTATCAGAGGAGAGTGGCTGCCAGCAGCCAGGGCTTTTTGCTTAGTTCTACTGTTTCTAGACTCTTGAGAATACAGATTCTCTGTCAGTCAAAAGAAACCTGATCAGATTCTCCCTGATTGCTTTGTAAAGAAGCACATTGTGTTGCTTCCTGCACACCTTCCCTCCTCTCTCTAGAAAAACATTCTATATAGCCCTTTGGTTTTCTTCATAAATTAAGAGTTAGCACAATCATTGGACCTGTTTGTTTCTCCCTTAAGGAAAGATAGCAGCTATACTTCAGATTTCTTAATCATATTCAAGAGTAATCTGAGTATTCCTATTCTCTTAGCCTTAGCTCTTTTGGTTAGGTCATTTGGTAATGTTTGTGTGTTTAATAATATGAAAGCCAAGGACTTCCAGTTAAACATGTGTTTATCTCTGTTCTGAAACCTATTAAAATATAAAAAAAATAGGATTAAGGCTGGGCAGCATAGCTTACGCATGTAATCCTGGCACTCTGGGAGGCTGGGTGTGAGGATCTTTTGACCTCCAAAAGAACAGCCCTAGCAAGAGTGAGACCTCCCCTATCTCAACTAAAAATAGAAAAAAAAAAATTAACTAGGTATGGTAGTAGGTGCCTGTAGTCCCAGCTACACAGGAGGCTGAGGCAGGAAGATCACTTGAGCCCAGGAGTTTGAGGTTGGAGCCCTCATAATCATAGGCATAATTATTTAGAAAACTATACATGTGCATACATAATACAATTATTTAGAAAATACCATGTGGGCATGGTGGCTCACATCTGTAATCCTACCACTCTGGGAAGCCAAGGCAAGTGGATTGCTTGAGCTCCTGAGTTCGAGACCAGCCTGAGCAAAAGCAAGACCCCAGCTCTACTAAAAATAGAAAAACAGAGGCAAGAGGATTGCTTGAGCCTGAGTTGGAGTTGCTGTGAGCTATGTCAGCATAGCACTGTATCAAGGGTGACAACTTGAGACCCTATCTTTTTTGTTGTTGTTGTTGTTGTTTGAGACAGAGCCTCAAGCTGCCCCCCTGGGTAGAGTGTCATGGCATCACAGGTCACAGCAACCTCCAACTCCTGGGGTCAAGTGAGTCTCCTGCCTCAGCCTCCCAAGTAGCTGGGACCACAGCCACCCGCCACAATGCTTGGCTATTTTTTGGTTGCAGTCGTCGTTTGGTGGGCCCGGGCTGGATTCCAATCTGCCACCTTAGGTGTATGTGGCTGGCACCTTAGTCACTTGAGCCACAGGCACCAAGCCTGCTTTCTAGTTTTCAAAAGTTTGTTGCCGTCTCTCATTATCTCCTCTCCCATTTTCAGTGTCCTTGTGGGCTTCTGAAGACAGTTTCAAGAGTTGTTATTTCAACAGCTAGTGCTGCTCAGGGTTGATCTGCTTAAAGGCATTTAGTGTTTCCCCAGAAGCAATGGTTTGTCATCTAGTTTGAGGGCAGTGATCTAACGTAGGAGCTTTTAAACTAAGAGTAGATGTCAGTTTCCTCTATTTTCATTTGGAACTGCTTAGCTAGTATTTTGGAAGAACTCCAAAATCTCTGATATTATTGCTAAATGTTTTTTCATCCTTTCTCTCTTAATTCTCCCATCTCTTTTATTCAATCATAAAGAGGAATCTGCCTCTAGAAAATTTGCCTTTTAAAATATAATGGAGGAGCAATTCTATTTATTCTGAGCTATCTAACTTAAATACTTGAATAATTCCTAAATGCACACTTTAGGTTATTTGCCGATCAGATGCTATTGATTCAGAAAGAGAACCTGCTCATTTTCCACTCCTGACTCTTCCTAAAACAGAATTATTAATATATTTAATCTTCTGCAGGATATTCAAATAGAAGCCTTGCTGATGAGAGCCTGTGAACCCATAATTCAGAACTTTTGCCACGTAAGTAATATCTGAAGGAACAAGGATTAAAAACAAAACTAAACTCACTGGCACTCTGACCCCAGAGTGTGTTAGACTCAGCTCTATCTTCAGCATACATTACTCCTGAGTGACAGCCAGCTTTGACACCTTATAGTTGAAAATATAAATAAGATCAAGATGGATGTGCCACCATCCTGAGAAACCTTGTTTGATTTGCCTTTGTAAGTGATCAGGTATGAGTTACCCTTTATGAGAAAAGATGGAACAGCGAAGCCCCAGTTAGTATGATGAAATTGCTTTCAGTATATCATCCTAAGAATTGTTAGCAGTAGTAACTTCTCCTTCCAATTGTTTCCTTGTACCCCCTAGTATTGTGTGATTCTATTGCTTTATAACTTGCTCATTATTTAACTACCTAAATTGAGAGAGTGATACATACCCAGAAACCATCAGAATCTAAGGCAGGGTGCAGTAGTTCACACTTGTAATCCTAACACTCTGGGAAGCTGAGACAGGTGGATTGCCCTGAGCTCACAAATTGGAGACCATCCTGAGCCAGAGCAAGACCCCTCCTCCAAAAATAGCCAGATGTTGTGGCGGACACCTGTAGTCCCAGCTGCTCAGGAGGCTGAGGCAAGAGAATCTCTTAAGCCCAAGAGTTTGAGGTTGCTGTGAGCTGTGATGCCATGACACTCTACCAAAGGAGACAAAACACCATCAGAATCTGGTAACCAGGAAGTTATATAAGATGCTGTCCCAAAAGCTTAGCTGCTGGCATCATGTAAGGAAAGTGAAGATTCATAGTGGGTATTCTTGCCTCACACTGAGCCACTTGCTGTGTAAATGTTATTCTACTAAAAATGTTTATTTTTGGTAATTTTTCCAGGTATATGATGTATCTTTTCTTCTGATGGCTTCTAGAATCAGACTTATTTGTATTTTCCATGGGCTGGGCTACAAATTCTGTTCATTCATTGTTACAAATGAAGTATAAATCTTCACTGTCTTTCCCAGGATGTGGCAGATAACCAGATAGACTCTGGGGACCTGATGGAATGTCTGATACAGAACAAACACCAGAAGGACATGAATGAGAAGTGTGCCATAGGAGTCACCCACTTCCAGCTGGTCAGTAACACCTGATTGCTTATTTCTTGTCTCAGCTGCTTGGATTATTATTGGAATCCCTTCCTCTTTTAGAATATCAAAGCCCCGGGCAGTGCCTGTGGCTCAAAGGAGTAAGGCGCCGCCCCGTATCCCGGAGGTGATGGGTTCAAACCCAGCCCTGGCCAAAAACTGCAAAAAAAAAAAAAAAGAATATCAAAGTACCTCTGATGTTATGTGAAAAATCATTTTTTCCAAACGTATACACAAATATCCTATTTTTATTCTCAATAAATGTGGCTTTTATATAATGCACCCAGGCACTTTGTTAGGCTCTTTGAAACATAATGATACATAAGAAATAGTCCCTATCTCCAGGGTGCATACACACATACAGTCTAGAGGGTTGGACGACCAAACAGGTGTTTTTATGCTTTGATCACATTGCTTGCATAAGGTACTTTAACCTCTCCTTCAACATTTAGTATTATTGGCCAGGTACCGTGGCTCACACCTATAATCCCAGCACTCTGGGAGGCCAAGGCAGGCAGATTGCCTGTGCTCAGGAGTTAGAGATCAACCTGAGCCAGAGTGGGACCCCACCTCTAAAAATAGCCAGGCATTGTGGCAGGCACCTATAATGCCAGCTACTCGGTAGGCTGAGGCAAGAGAATCGCTTGAGCCAAGGAGTCTGAGGTTGCTGTGAGCTATGACACCAAGCACACTACCAGGAGCTGCAAGGGAGACTCTGTCTTAAAAAAAATAAAGAATACATTTATATTATTAGAAACTGTTGTTTTATGTAACTGTTCATGTATGTCAACATACTGGACTTTAAGCCTTCCTTTTTTTTTTAATCATAACAACCCAGCTCTGGCATTTGAATAACATAGTAAGAACCTACTCTTCGTACTTATCACATGAACTAAAGGAATTATTTCTGGTATAGCAGGCACTTCTTTCCAAAGAAGATGAAATCCAGTCCACTATGTTAATTGACCGCTTCTCACAGCATCTAGCCCACCTGACTATAGTCAGCAAGAGTTAAGGAGTGCTCCAGATATGCAAGGCACTGGGAGATGGTGGTGAGACAGAAAATCCCCTGCCCTTGTGGATGGACTCTAGATTCTAGTAGAGAAGGAAGATAAAACAAGTGTACAAAAACATGTATAGTCTTAGGAGCTTCCAGGAAGAAAACCAAAGAAGAGCAAGGGGTTGGAGGGTGAAGGGGAAAGGGAGCTTCAAAAAGAAAAACTTAAATAGAAACTCTGAGGAAGTAGCAGAGCAAACCACACAGAGAACTGGGAGAGGAGTATTTGTGTTAGAGGGAAGAGCATGAGTGTGATTGGAAAGGCAGCAAAGCCAGCGTGCCTGAGCAGAGACAGTGGAGAGGTTGGCAGGTCATGAAGTCTGGGAGAGACAAGGCAAGCCATGCAGAGTCCACAGCAAGCTATGTGAATAAATGTCACCCACTACAACTGACTCAAACTTGACACTGATTTTGATTTTCGTATCATCTTTCAGGTGCAGATGAAGGATTTTCGGTTCTCTTATAAGTTTAAAATGGCCTGCAAGGAGGATGTGTTGAAACTTTGCCCGAACATAAAAAAAAAGTATGTCGTTTTTCATTGATTTCTGCTTTTGCAAAGGCCCTCTTAGCCACCAAATGAATTTCCAAGATGTTGTGTAGCCTCCTGCTGTCTGGCAGGATCAGCCTGGAGGCCTCCTGCAATCTCCTTTGGTAGTATAGATAAATGCTTGAAAATTGTATGGACAGATCATTGTGATAGCTGCCTCGAGCCACAACTGGTTGATGGTAGTTCTTACATGGAGACTTCACAGGCTAAAGTAGCGTTTTTCTTTTTTTCAGGTTTAAGCTAACTGTTGAAGCAGAGAATAGATCATATACTTAAAAGAATCAAGTTTCAGGTTGCAGTGTGGGTAAAAGGAGTGAACTGACTTCTTCCTGACATCAGCTCATTATGTCATCTCTTTTGAAATGCTGCAGAGGCTTTTAGTGAATTAGATATTAGGGAAGAAACAAAAACTTTATTCCTCTATAAACAATTAAATCTTGTTTGGGTGTGGTAACTCACACCTGTAATCACAGCATTCTGGGAGCCTAAGGCGGCAGAATGCTTAAAGCCAGGAATTTAAGACCAGCCTGACCAAGAGCAAGACCCTGTCTTTGCAAAAAATAGAAAAATCGGCTCAGTGCCCATAGCACAGTGGTTATGGCACCAGCCACATACACCGAGACTGGTGGGTTCAAATCTAGCCCAGGCCAATAAAACAACTATGACAACTGCAACAAAAGAAAAATAGCCTGGTGGTGTGGGTGCCTGTAGTCCCAGCTACTTGGGAGGCTGAAGCAAGAGAATCGCTTAAGCCCAAGAGTTAGAGGTTGCTGTGAGCTGTGATGTCACACCACTCTCTACCTAGGACAATGTAGTGAGACTCTGTCTCAAAAAAAAAAAAAAAAAAATAGAAAAATTAGTTAGGTGTGGTGGTACATGTCTGTAATCCCAGCTATTTGGGGGAAGGTAAGGCAGGAGAATTACTTGAGCCTGAGAGTTTGAGGTTGCAGTGAGCTACAATAATGCCACTATACTCTGGGGTCACGGAGCAAGACTCCTTAAAGAGGAGACTCTAAGCGTTTGCAGAAAGTCTACCCAGATTCTTCCATACTGCACTTTGAAAGGCACATTTCTGGAGCACATTTTTCCTCCTATAAACCAAGTTCCCATTTTGCTTAGGTTTCTGTACATTTCTAATAGTTTTCGTAGTATGTCAAAGGCATATTCCCAGGGTTTACTGCAGCATTCCTCTGTGGTCATGTGTTTTTAACAAGTGTTGAACTGTCTTTGCACACAGACAGTCTAGCTTCCCTTCCAGTTAGGAGTACATTAGTCAGCACTCAGACTGTTGCCTGACTTTTACGACATACACAGTCAAATTGTGTCTTTTAGCACTCTGAAAAAAATAGTGAGGCTTATAGGAAAGATTCAAAATAGAAGATCCTGATTTCTTGGAAAAAAGTGTGACTCCTGCCCTGGCCCAGCTCTCAGGCTATCTGTCCTCATGTGGCTCCAGCTAATCTCAGGCCTCTCCTTTCCTCGGTAGGGTGGACGTGGTGATCTGCCTGAGCACCACCGTGCGCAATGACACTCTGCAGGAAGCCAAGGAGCACAGGGTGTCCCTGAAGTGCCGCAAGCAGCTCCGCGTGGAGGAGCTGGAGATGGTAATGCCTTCTAGCCTCTGTGCCTGGCAGCCTCAGGCTTAGGAAGTTGAGGAGAAGCCAGGGAAAGGTGGAAGGTTTTAGCCACTGTTGCAATGGTTAAGACTTGGAGTCACATGCCAGAATTTTGCCATATGTGACAATTAGCCTCCTATTTCACTGTTTTGTTTTGAGCAATATACATAAAACATTTTTTACCACATGTAAACTGAAAAGTCAGCTGTAGGACAAGCTCTAAGAACATGTTACAATCACTAGATCAAGAATGTCCTCAAGTATCAAGGGGCTTATGCTCTCCACTGTGTTGTCCTCAGCATCAACTTCATCATAGGCTTGTTTCCCTCATGTTTGCCCAGCGATTTTGCCCAGTGGCTGCCTGCAACACCTGAGCCACCTCCTCCAATATTCATCTCTCCAGCAAAAGGGAAAAAAGAGAGAAAAACCTACCCCTACCATAAAAATGAGATCTTTCCCTTCAGTTTGACTGTGTGAGATCTTGGCGTCTCTGTCTACTTCCAACAGTGGTCTCCAAGGGACAGGCATACACTTTGGCTTGCTGCTAATCACTGAGGTGAAATGGATACTGGAAACTTACCTGCAATGTGCACTATGAGAAGAAACTTTTGCTTGACTTTTGAAGTTAAGCACAAACCAGGTTAAAAAAACAAGTAAAAATATTTTTAATATGTTTATGCTTCAGACCATACTTGTTTCACCTCAGTCTAAGCCAGTGGTTCTCAACGTGTGGGTCACGACCCCTTTGTAACAATGAAAATACATCTTGCGTATCACATATTTACATTACGATTCATAACAGTAGCAAAATTACAATTATGAAATAGTAATGAAACTAATTTTATGGTTGGGAGTCACCACAACATGAGGACCTGTATTAAAGGGTGGCGGCATTAGGGAGGTTGAGAACCACTGATCTAAGCAAAAACTAGTAATGGAGCGCAAATGCCACTAACATTCCAAAAATTACCTATCATATTTTCTCAACCAGTGGCAGTAATTCAGTGATAATTCTAAGTGGAGCTGATTGTAAAATACTGTTATAATGGAGACGTTTTAAGGTGGAAGCTTCAATTCCCTAACTTTGAATTCAGCTCTTTTCCTAAAATAATAATAATAAAAGTAGAACCCAACATTTATGTAATGATTTTAACTGTAAAGTGGTTTTCACATACTATTATCGTACTCTATCTGACAGCAGTCCTGTGAAGGACTAAACATTGCATTTCAGGGTAGATGGGGCATTTTGTTTTGCTAGAAGGTCCAAGGCCATGTAGCTTGTTGGCAGCAGAACTGAAAGTAAACCCTAGTTCTCCTGCTGCATGGCCTCACTGCTGCTACTTTGCTGTGTAGAAGTTGGAGGTCACTCCATGAGGTCCAATCAGTAAATAAGTCTGTAGAATGTTTGCCATCCCCAGGCTACAGTAAGCTCACTTTTCCATTCTGGCTTGCTCTGATGCAGACAGAAGACATCCGTCTGGAACCAGAGCTGTATGAAGCCTGCAAGAGTGACATCAAGAACTACTGTCCCACTGTGCAGTATGGCAATGCTCAGGTAACTTCTTGCTTTGTAATTGTAAAAGTAGTGTGAGGGTGACATTTTCATAATTAATCCTTACTGGTGGGGACAGGACCCTTCACATCCTATTGAACCTAATCATCCCCTCTGAAGTGATACCAGACTTCTTTTCCAGGGTCCACACCTACTCTCCTCTCTACTATTCACTCTCTTCCCTCTTTCTGGTAACCTCGTCCTTCCTCCACAGTATCTGTCTAATAAATTCTAAACGTCCTTCAAATGACGACTCCTGTCTGTGGCCTTTGCCAGTACTGAGCCTTCACAATTACTTATTCCCTTATTATGTTCCCATCACATAGAAGTTATGCCTAGGAATCACCCAGGATACTTTTTAAAATACACAGGAACAGGTTCTTATCCAGAATCACTAGGAATGAAGTGCAAACAAGTGATTTTTTAAAATGATCTTCCGATGGCTCAGCTACTACTTCTAGTTAAGGGCATTGCCATGATGCTTTAGAGTTTGGGGTTATTACTTCATTGTCTTCTTGTATCTAGTAATGCTGATGTAAAGTCTCATGGTGACCTGTGTCTCATTTCTTTATTTTTGAACTCTCATTTTTATTGCCATATTATCATGTTCCCTCACTTTTAACTCCTTGGTTTACTTAATTTATCATCTTTCTTATGGTATTAGTGTTCCTCAACTAGTTAGTGATTCCTGGTTGTGTCTTGAACATTTTCTAGAAGTTTCGTAACTTCGTGCTCTAGCCCTAGCGGCTGCAACTCCCCCCTGCTTTCCTTTGTATTTTATATAATATCCAAAGGTTTATGTAGAGAACAGAAGGCTTCAGGGTATACTTAATTTACTACCTTAAAATCCATCCATAATACCATATACTTTTGTGTTATCACTCATCTTTTTATCCTATTTATCTATATAAATTTGGCCTGTGAATAGTATGTATATTAGCCAAGGATAAAGATTGGGTCTCGTTCATACCTAACATCCCAGGGTCTCTTCTCATGTGGCAAATGGAGAGTTGAATCAGGCTCAGCGCCTGTGGCTCAAGCGGCTAAGGCGCCAGCCACATACACCTAAGGTGGCAGGTTCGAGTCCAGCCCGGGCCCGCCAAACAACAATAATGGGTGCAACCAAAAAAAAAAAAAAGAGAGAGAGAGTTGAATCAAACCTTCTGGTTGTGCTACTGTCTAGTCAGGGTTATTACTCCAGGTAAATGCAGAGAGCCTAATGTGTGCACCCAAAAGGAATCTTGACAAGGACCAGTTGTAGAAGGCAGAAGAATTCTGAGTGAGTTTTCTTGCCTTTAGACTTTAGTGCAGCCTGGTAGTCATCCTCAATTTTTATAGTTTGGTCTAAGGTTGTAAATCTGTTGATGTAATTCTCCTCGGTGAGGAAACTCTGATTCCTATTACTGGATTTAGAAATGGAAATTACGGCTCAGCGCCTGTGGCTCAAGTGGCTAAGATGCCAGCCACATACACCTAAGGTGGTGGGTTCGAATCCAGCCTGGGCCCACCAAACAATGATGGCTGCAACCAAAAAATGGCCAGGCATTGTGGCGGGCGCCTGTGGTCCCAGCTACTTGGGAGGCAGAGGCAGGAGACTTGCTTGAGCCCAGGAGT